AGCCTGGGGCCAGCCACTGCCAGGATCAGGGGCCTCAGGAGGGCAGACAGGGGGTGGGGCTGGGCACTGCGGGGAGCAGGGGGAACAAGTGGGGCCGTGAGAGCTCCTCCCCATAGTTCCCTCCCCCTCCTCGAGCCCCCCCGACCCTTTACTCACTGGCTGTGGAGCCCTGGTGCTGAAGCACGCTCCTTCAGCACCAGGGCAAGGGGCCAACCATGGAGATGCTCTGGCAGCCAGAGCGTCTCCCTGGAAGAGCCAACTTTTTTAAACTTCGGGTTTTTTTAGACCCCTGGTTTTCTCCCCTCGCTGCAAGTTTGCATCACGGGGAACATTTTTTCATTCCCACACGTGCCTCTTGCCCTGCCTCAAAGGGGTTTGAGATGGGGCAAGAGGCATGTGCACGCTCATCTGGACGCAACCATATATTGCTCCAGACAATTTCACTGCTAATACTTTAATTTACAGGGGTACAGACATTATGTAAGCATGCTTTATTTTGTTTTAATGGCTAGAATTAAGTGACTAGCTATCCAAGCCTAACTATGCCAGTAGATGTGCGGGGACACTGCTCCAACATGCTGTAATTGCAGTCCGATTAATCGAGTCTGCTGGAGTGTGCTAATTAGGATGGAGGGGTGCTTAGTGTCTGGTCTCATGCTGAAGTAAACTCTGTTAATCCACATCAAAAGGAGCCAACTCTGCCCATAAGAGCAGTTTTAGCACTGAAGCTTAGAAATGTTACTAGCTATTGGCTTTACTTATAGAAGCTGAAAATGCTACTTGATGCTACTAGCATCTGATCTCTTTTATTAGTAATGCTACATAGTAACATATGTAGGGCCAAGTCTACAGTAGTGTACAGTTTTTATAACAAGATCTGCTGCAATAAGAATCTCCAAAAATATGGTGATGGGAGCCACATTTGTCCCCTAAAGCAACTAGCACATTCCATGATCCCTTGAGGACTATTCATCGTACAGGGAAGCAGTAATATCAAATTAATACTGCATTTCCATGGTCTAGAAATGAGAACCTTGAGGCTCTCATTTTATTGTGCAACCTTGGATAACTCGATCTTTATCCTTCATTCAACCCAAGTGAGGGGTGGAAAGATTAGTAAAAACCTGATGTTTCACAAATAACAGAGTCCAAGATTCTACCTATGGAATTTTTCAAAATTCTCAGGACCTTTTACCATGATGTGTTTTTGAATATAGGGTAAATAAGAAATAATGGTACAAAAATATAAACTCTACTGACAAATTCTCAAAAGGAGGAGTTAGCGTTGACAATATGGACGTACTAAGAAATCTGATCCCATAAAGGAATATGGGGGAATGTATTCTTGGATGAAATACAGCTTGCTCTTTATGTTCCAGTAAAACCTTCTCTGTCAGTTACTGATCAAACAAGAGGGAGAACATAATTTTAGGAAACTAAATAGAAAATTAAATCATATCAAACAGAAAAATAGCTGGAGACTACTTTGATCTTTATATAAATGAAACCATTAAAACAAATCTATTTGTTTCAATAACTGTGGCCACACAGTGTATTCACAGCCACAGAACTCTTTTTTTTTTTTTTTGATCAATAAGATGGTTAAAACTGCCTAACAACAGCTGACTTCTTATACAAACATATATAGAACAGACTGTAAATAGAAATCAGGTGGACTAAGTCTCGAAAGGTTAGGGACCATGCTTTAAAATGCTATGCCAGAGAACTCTTATGCTGATGTCCATCTTCGGGAAAAAGGCACTAGCAGCTAACAGTTCCTGGGAAAAGAGCAAATAGAAGATACTATACATTCAATCCTCTCTTTTGGAAGTGAGAGATGCCTTGCAACTCCTGGGGTACTTTGACCTATCACTAGTTCAGCCCTTTTAAACGCAATATAAAATGATCAGCAGCCTCATATCAAGTAGCTTTATATCAGATATATATCCATTTAATGTGAAACTCTGACTTGGAACAGAAGCGTGCCTGGGTAGTTCTATGCATAGCAATGCATGGGACAGCTTCAGGGGCCAGGACAATAGCACAGCTGCTTTCTATTTCTGTGCCAACACTAACTCAGTGCCTGCAGTTTTTGCCCTTGTTCCCCCACTCCCACACTCCACTTAGCTATGGTACTGCTTGGGAGTCTGTTCCAAACTCTTTTGAGAGTGAGAGCACCTGAGAAGAGAACAGATGGGTGCTGATAACCTTCATTCCTAAAAGGTAGCCAGATCTCTTCCCTTAGATTTTTTTAGGGCTCAGATTCTCTCAGGAAAACTCTTTCTAAATGGAACTATTCTGTATTTATGTCATGTAAGCAGGCCAGAGCATTTTGCATGAGGTTTGACATCCAGTAGACTACCCAAGTAATACAGGAAACTTCCCTTCCAGCAACAGAAATCAATGTTATAAGGGTAACAACAAAGTTATTTAGGAACATGAAAGTGTTCTTCCAGCCATGAAAAGTGTTTCTGCAAAATTGGAATCAGCAACTCCTGTGTTTAATATATCTCCATGACTTAAATTTGTTCAGTATAGAATTAAAAGGATAGATTTTTTTCCCCTCCCCTAAATAACAGCACTGCAGGCTATTCCTGGGCCTAAAAAGTCACACTGTTTGTGTGCCCCAACTAGGGAAGACTATACAGAGCAAAGTGTACCAGATTACATTATTTGTGATTACCACAGTGCAAACCTCAGTGTTTTCACAATCTTGAATCTTGCTTCTTTCACCATAGGCTGTGTAACATGTTCATTCCTTCTACACTGCAAGGAAGGAAGGATTTTTTTTTTAATTACCATGTATATATGCATGGCATGGCACACCTTAGCTTTGTTCAAAATACTTTATGGCCCCTGTTAAAAACACCACTATTGCTTTAAAAACAAAACAGAAAAAAACAAACAATCAAAAAACCCAAAAAACAAACAAGCAAAAACATACTGAAAAATCTGCAACACACTTTTTCCAAAGCCTCATAACAAAATCAAAACAAGTTCTCATTAGAAACTTACTCAAAACCTTTGTTTTTTTACCCAGAGAGAATTACTTCCATCAAAAGAATGTAACTTTTCTATCAACTGATTTTAGCACTAGAGCTCTTCTAAAATAAATATTATTATAGTAGAAAAATATAATTTGCTTATTCAGGAACAATGTAGGTGGAAATGCCAGAAAGCTATATATGGAAACCAGGTTGTTCAATTAAAAAATAAAAATATACCACTTTTACTCCTTAATGGTCACTATTCCTCCTGGTTATAGGGCAGGATGCTGTCTTTTCCACCTGTCTGGACTGATTCCTCACTAATTTGAACAAGTATAAACCCACTAAAGTGAAGTTTAGTTACTAAATGAGTTTGAGGGCTCAGTCCTACAAGATGATTAGAAGTCCACACAAACCCTGCTGAATGCGTACTTAGCCTTAGGTATATAAAGAAAATGGGATGGGGTGAAAATAAACAGCAGCTGGCTGTACTAAGTGCTGGAGGACTTGAGAGCAAGTCTGCAATGAAAAGCTGACTTTCCCAAAGGCAAAACTAATTGTAGGTTATAATACGAAACAAGGATGCTACTTTTTGGTAGTTGGTTGTGGGGGTATAAGAAGAGACATGTCAGCCTTATAAAAATAAATAAATACAAGCATGTCCAATGAAAACCATCATTATTTTATTGTAGACAGAAGGCCTGATCCTCATTTATATGAAAGCCCTCTTACACTATTCCATCAGTGTAAAGAAGCTTCGAGTCCCTTCATGCTAACAGTGTTGTGAACAGTGTTTAGTGTGAAAGAGAATCAAGCTAGTAGTGTTTTGAAATGGTCCTTTTTACCAGGTATCATATTATCCAAAATAATGGTCAAATAAGGATCTGGAAAGGAACTTGTAACCAAAAGATGCTGCTTCCTTACAACTGGAGGAAAAAATCTTTCTGTCAACCTTCCCCCCCCAAGTGAAGGTTAAAGACCTGTGATTTTACAATTAAACTCATTCAAATGACCCTCCAATATGAAAAGAAAAACAATTCTAAGATACATGGATTCATACTCATTATTTCAGATGTTGAGGCCAGTTATAACAGCTGCAAAGCTGTACCCTTAGAATCAAGAAGGAACTGAATACTAATATTTGAAAAATCACTAATGCTTCCAAATAGAAATGAACCTGGGAAAGTTCATCCACTCAATTCACCCTGCATCAGTTCATATGCTCAATTGAATTTGAACACTATATATCTGATTCCTCATGTAAGCAGGTAAATAAATGAGTTTACTGACAGGAAACCAAAGAGAGAGAAAGGAGTTCTTCTGTAAGCATTCATGTCTTCTCATTGCTAAGGAAACCACTGCCTTTGTCTGTAATGATTTACAATGGCTCTCTCATTTGAATTCTGACTTACAGATGTCAAATTATCTCTGATGTTGCATTTGCTTCCATGGAATTATACCATAGATGAATTCAACCCATCTTCAAGTAAGGCAAACACATGAAGAAATGCTTTGTATAGAAGTTAGAATACAAACAGTACTAACACATATATATTTTAGTGATACGTGGAAATTAGTTTCACTTCCCCATATATTTATTATTAGCAACATAATTTATAAATACTGTATGAACACGTGTGTTTATTTAATATAATAGATATACTCTATAGAATATGTGTGTATGTTATATATGTATAATGCATGTATATTTTGTATGCATTTTATACACCCATATATGGGAAGGGGTTGTATATACACAGATATATAATTTCACTTATATTTTTCTGAGGTGAGTAAAAGGTGTTTGAAAGGACAGAACAAGATCATAGGATTATAGATAAATAGGGCTGGAGGGACCTCTAGAAGTCATCTAATCTAGCCCAACCACTGCCTGAGGCATAATCATCCCTATCCAAACCATCCTATGCAATCCATAATCTAAACTCTACATAAAACTACCATTTACCTTGAAACAACACAGACCTAACACCCTAACCTGCCATAAGTAAAGTGTCGGAGATCAGAGCAGCCGCCGGCAGCTGCTTGCTGACCCCCCGCACCAGAGCAGTAAAACTTTCACCTGACAGGCAGGTAGTGATGGATGGGGTGGAATTAACCAGGCACAGATGCGTGTTGGTTATAGGAATTTGTTTACTTACGTCGCTCAGATAGTGACGCGCGACGCAGGCTGAGCCTTTGTTCCGTTGCAGTTTTTCCGGTTATAGCGATTATAATCAAGCGTATGGTTTCAGGTTGCAGCTAACGATACAACGATTACGATCAAGCGTACAGTTTCGGGTTACAGCTAACAATGACGGACGTGGCGCCGGGAACGAGCTATCATGCCTGCAGGGCTTTGATACGTCAATATTTACGCTGACGGGAAGCTATTGACAGCTGATCAGACTGTCAATTTACTCTGATGATGATCTTAGGTTTCTCCTTAGAGATTCCCGCAGAGGTCTCCGACTTAGGCGGAAGTTGTTAAACTATTTATAGACAGAGGTGTCTCTCAGAGATATCCAATGATGAACTGCTAAATGGAATCTTTAATTATCTGGCAAGCAGCAGTTCTTTGTGCTCTCAGGTTGCTATCAGGTTACAAGGTAGTGGGTTAGGTTTCTAGTATGTTACGTGTGAGGTACCTACGCTTGTTCCTTGACCAATTGTAGGGATTTATGGCAGGGCTATCCCCTTTCACCCTGACCAGTTTTAAGTTTCGTTTCTCGTTTGTGACGTGGGCATAAATTATATACAGCTCTCCACCAGGATTTTGTTTTAACCCTTAGTTGATCAGATGATGGTCTGAATGGTATCTCTTGCAAGTGACATGGGCACTGATTAATTTGGTTGTGACATAAAGCAGGAGAACCATGGCAGCCAACATCCTACTTCTATACAAGATTGTCAATATATGCTCAAGATCCCAGATAAAGGGCTATCCCCATCCCCATGACAGAGGAAGGCTAAAATCCCCACAGTCTGTATCAATCTGCCCATGTGGTAAAATTCTTTCCTGACCCCAAATATGGCCATCTGTCTGACTCTGAGCAGAGGGGTGAGGCCTTCTAGCCAGGTACCCAGCCCTGGTCCCAGCAGGAGCACTGGCACATCCCAGTCAAAGTCCCCAGCCTTAGCTGTAGCCAACATCCAATGCCAACACCCAACACCCAGTGTGCTTATCAGTGGTAAACCAGATGTCATTCAATGCTTTTTCTACCATTGATTATTGCAATGTGTCCATTTTGAATTTTCAGAATATTTCAAATCAGTACCTTGGTACTGATTTTATATATATATATAAAATCACCTAGCTCACTGGCCAGTGCTTATATACCTGTGTACTCATCACTAAACAATACACTAAACTGAAATCAAGGCAGGAGATTATGGTCAGAATTCTGCTAGCTTTGCCTGCCTAAATGGCAATTTTGTAACCATGTAAGTGTTGTTTTGGGCACTTGCATGTCATTCTACTACCCTTCACTATGGACACACAAGCCCATGTGCATAAACTGAGTATGCATAGTCAGTTACACACTGGCCAGGTGGGTTTCCAGTTTTATACATGTACCTGTTCTGACTGCATAAATGCAAATAAGTCCAAAACCCATGACTGGCAGATGTAGCTGGAGAAAGACCCTCATGTATTTTAACCCCAACATCTAAGCGGTTAGGACATGGGCCTGGGAAGCAAGGGGCCTTGGTTCTAGGATCCCTTTGCCCAGAATGGATTTGAACTTGTATTTCTCTGACATATTAGCACGATGCTCTAGCTACCACTTCATAGAATAGGCATCATCCAGGTCCTTCTCTAGTCCTTTTGAAACTGATAGCCAAGAGAAAGAAAGGAAGTTAGAAAATGTGTAACTCAGTGAGATGGTTGCTGCCTTCAAAGAAGAGCTAGCTTTGGGTTCTAACCTAGACCCTTGCTCTCAGTAGGGTACGAGTTATACTACCTTCCACCTATTTTATCCAATGACTGTAAAATGCAAAGGGATTTAGTTTCAAAAGGAGTACTAGAGAAGGTACTGGCTAATTCCTACCATGGAGCATGGTGGTTAGAGAACTGCTAAGAAACCAGAGAGATGCAGTCATCCCTGGTTTTTCCTGAACTTATGCTCAGGTATGCACTGATATAGCTGTATATGTGCCGAGCCAGCACATGGCCTACTATATATGCTCAGTCAACATGTGCATGCTTATGCAACCACAGTGTAGAGATAAGCAGCAAAAAGTGCCTTGATATGTGACTAGAAAATTGCCATTTAAGCACAGAAAGGAAAACAGAATTCCATACTTTGTGGATTGGGATGAATTTACTGGAATACTTCGACTACTCCAGGTTTTGGTGTTGGTTGCAATAATGACTATCAGTAATGCCAGTACATGCTTGTCATCAGGAAGTTATAACTTAATGTGGTTAATGCTCGGTGTTATAAGGTAAGCATATTTATTTTCTATGTATCCGGGATAGGAACTGTCTTGGACGGCCAGAGCCAACTCGAGGTGATTTAGAAATTGCTCATTCGTCAGGGCGGGCTGGTGAATGGAGAGGCAGACAAGGTTTAATGGTTGCAAAAACGTTTACTTACGCCACCTGTAGTTGCGACGCAGATGGTCCGGTCATCTGAACAACCACGTGGGTTGTTCCAGCTGGCGGGGCCCAAGTCAGTGAATCCGTCCATAAATCAAGCCGGCGGGAAAAGGGTACGTCTGGGATTGTGCTCGGCGACGGGAAGAAAGATCAATAGGTGATCAGTCTATCGATCAGCTAGCCACAAGTCAGATCTCTTTAGAGGCACTCTGCAGCGTGCTCAAAGTTCTT